GGGAGGGAGGGGGTATTTATAGTTTTAGAGAAGATTAATTTTGTAAATTAAAAAAAAAAGTTAAATTTTAAAGAAAAAAAGGCTATTAATGCAATTAACCCGTTGGGCAACGGATCCCTGCCAGGTCTGAACGTTGCCAACGGTTAGTGGGACCCACTTAATTCAGAAAAAATTTAAAAAAAGGTTGTACCAGGCCGGTTTAACCGGTACATGGTACTGTTCACGTGGACCGGGTTTGACTGGTCCGGCTAACCATTACCAAAATTTAAACAGATCATTCCCCTCTACCCCTCCTATCCAGCCCCACCAGGCCCCCTATGTACCGGACTGGTCTGGGCCGATCCAATTACGAGTCAACCCAGCCCGTTAGACACCTTTAACTCTAGTACAATGAGGTGTTCATTAAAGAATGAAAGCAATGTGCTAGCTTCTCTCATTTTTGGTATCCAATGGAAAGGAATAAAATTATTAATCGCTATAGCAAAATATGGTATAAAAATGTCAGACCATCGGCTTCATAGAGAAAGTAAACCCTATCCACCTATTCAGAATGCATGTTTTAATATATTGGCAAGTTGGTTTTCTAATAAATATTCTTGGACCATTTACTTTCATTTATTCTTAGCTAGAATTTAATTGAGTTCTTCTTCAAGGTCTTAATCATGTTTGCTTCATTAGCATGTTACTCTCTTTGTTGCAACAATTTTGACTATAGGCACAACCTGATAGAACTAAAAATAAATTTGATTTTACTTTTTTGTTTCTGAAGTAACTCTCATCGACTAGCTCCTTATAAGTTCTTTTCATGCTTCCATCATATTATTTGGATATGCCATGATCAACACGCAACATAATTATAATTTTATATACGTGTTTCCCCTGAATATGTATTTAACTTGAATAAAAGATTGGTAACTTATTAGAACCGGACAAACTCAATTGAGTGTATACTTTGGATTAGTCAGTATTCCAATATAATATAAATACCAAACACCATATAACAACCAACAAAAGAGCCCAAGGTCTTAGAGTTCTAAGTATCCCAACTAGATCTTCTTGTGTAAATGCGTATATGTATACTATGGGTGTTGAAATGATGACTAGTTGCTATCAAAATTCCATAACTGTACTGACTATGACTAATTGAAAAGAACTTGGAACAGGACATTCCTTTTGTAATACTTCATAATCTATTTAGGGGTGATTTAATTTGATAGGGTGTATAAGAACAACAATAAATAGGGTGCGTCGGTAACAATGAGATTAGTTCTTATCGACTGTTTAATTTATGTATTAAGAATAATATTTATTTTTTAAAAAAATTACTTGCTTATAAAAATACCCTCCACATTTTTTGAAAAAGATTTTGAAAGGGCAGTTGTATCTTTATACGTACTTATTCATGTATTAAAAACTATGGTATTGTTAATGTCATAGTTTGCTATGTATAAAAATAGGTTAAAAACACTACTAAACAGTGGATTAGTAATATCAAAGCTAATACATATATTATTTTTCCTAATATATCCTACCAAATGACTCCTTAATGATTCGAAAAATATGCAAGGGCAAATTTAGGAGTTTTTTTCTCAGTTTTCATAAAAAGCTGCACCAATATGAATGAGAGAATGGTTTTTTTTTTCTATTTGAGGCTTATCTAGTGTATCTCACCATAACTTGTGGTCTAAATCAGTGCTTTAATTAAACAATAAACATGAAATTTAGAACAATCTTACAAAGAATACTTTTAACAATAAAAGAATATCTTTGTCATTTGATTAATCATTAGTAGTAATTCTACAAAACCAAATATGTACTAAGGGTCAATAGAAGTAATATATATACATATACGTACATACTTTCCGACAAATTCTTTTTTTTGAGGATCCGATAACTTATGCAGTACTGAACTTTCTACTGGACCGGTTGCTATCAATACAAAATGCCCAAACTGTACCAAAACTTGGACTTTTTGTGGAGAGGGCTAATTACACTTTTTTTACGCGTTCAAACCGAGAAAGTAAACATTAATGTAGGCTACATCACATCCTTTGGGATACGATTCTTTCACGAACATTGCAGCATGAACGTGGGATGTCATGTGCATAAAGTTGCCAAGTATATTGATTTGATTGAATCAAAAGGTAGAGATGCATCCTCTATGTGTGGGAAATTTTTGCTTTTTTTGCTTAAGATCTTGTTTGTAAACTTTGCCAATATCTTGTGCAATTTTAATAGCATCAGCAGAAGCACCAGCTAGCCCTCTCCTTGAGAAACCAACTGCATATAGTCCAGATTTTCCTTTCCAACTATTTGGGAATGGTGCTTTTGGGAATCCATTATTGGAAAAAAATTCACTTTCCTGTATAAAACATAACAAAACAACATTAGTCCACTATTCAAGAATATTTCATAAAAAAAATTCTTCCCAAATTTGACACCTGCACGTGCACGGTTGTCTAAGGCTGGCCTTTAACTGTACTCAGACAGGTTCTCAAATAGACACCATAACTCGGTCATATTGATAAATAGTTGTGTTTTGACCAAGTTAAAGTTAAGGTGTCTGTTTGACAACCCCTCGAGTTAACGGGCCCGCATTAGAAATCCGTACAAATACGAACGTTAGTTTAGGTATTAAACCAAATCTTTTATTAAAAAAATCAAAAAAATGATAAGAACATTTTCTTACCTGTAGCCAATAAGGGACATTGCTGCAATAACCAGTAGCCAAAACAACAGAATCAATTTCAAGTTTTTCACCATTGACAAGTTCAACAGTTCCACATGAAAACTTCTTGATTCCAGGGACAACATTAATTTTTCTTGATTTAATCTTTTCCAATGCACCAGTGTCCAAAACAGGAGTTTTCCCTTGTGTATTCTTTAGTTCCAAAGGACCAATTGATGGCCTTTTTAGTCCAAATTTCTCAATATTTCCAAGAATAAACCATGTCAAAATGAGTACAATTTTATCAACTAACCAAAGTGGTAGCCATTTCATCATGAACATAGCTAGCTCAAATGTTGATTTTCCAAAGATTTCTCTTGGTAAAACATGAACCTGAAAACAAAAGCAAAACCCCATTAGAACCAAACTTTATAAGTAGTTTCTTTTTAGGTTTATATGCTGATAGTATAAAGAATTTTTACACTCGTAATGTATGTTAACTCTATGTAGCAGATAGCATGCCTTATTTTTAATATTACTAACCTCACTTTTTATTAACATCCACTTGTAATTATCTTTAGTGTAACCCGATATATATCAAGTCCGCTGAAAGATAGTTACAAGTAACTGTCCGTAAAAGGTAAAATTAGTATCTTGATATGATATCTTTTATACTGTCAGTGTATATTTTGATTACTTACCGAGCTACGACAAACCATTGATGGTTGAGCATTATGGTTACAAAGATCAAGTGAAACTTCCATGCCAGAATTCCCACATCCAACAACAAGAACTTTTTTCCCAATAAACTTCTCACCAGTCTTATAATCACAAGCATGAATCACTTCACCTCCAAATTCTTTTAAACCTTCAATATTAGGCAC